TTTTTTTTAGATAAAATTTTATATTTATTGCTCATAATATTATTACTGACCGTTTTTTTTTCAACGCCAGGAAATTGAAGTTTAGTGAAATCACATGTTAGCATTTTTTACATATTCCTGCATACCCTAAAAATGGAATTGATATGTTACATGATACTCCGGTGGATCATGTATACTTATGGCCTAGTGTTTTTGTGATTAAAATAAATTTATATATATATATATATTTTGTATATTTGCCCTGTAAGGCAAAAATGAAACACCTGTGGAGAGGAGTATGAAAGCTAAAAGTTGTGTGTTATAAAATACTAAGCTCCTAATAATACACACATTTGCTATTTCAAAGGATTGCTAAAAACAAATTCTACACCGTATGTAACGAAAGTGTTCAGTGAAAGACTGTATTGTCAGATTTGCATTTGACTGTGTTCTAAAGATTTCTTCATTTTCACTTTTTGGTATTTATCTAATGGAAATCTAACAATTGTCAATAGATTTAACAACCTGAAATGCATGGTAAAAGGTCATTTCAGGCTTGTTGACACATCTTACCTCGTATTGTTTAGAAATACAAACATTATTTTCCAACTCATCATTCTTTGTTGAAACACGGTGACAGCATTTAAGTATAGTAAAAATGATGACTAGTATAAATTAATTACTTTTCAAATCCAAAGTCAAATTCATGAGCTTCATTGAAGTTCTGCCACAAAAAATATTTCTTTTAAATGTATGATGGAGATTTCTTTCCTATAAGACATTGTGTTTTGAGTCCTATTCAAAATCAAAATTCCTTGACTCCATGCCATTTCAACATAAAGTTTGACATATCATGTTTTAGTTTAATAACTATCCTATCACTAACCTTTTTACATAAACTTCGTAAAAATCCTATTTTTTTCTTTACTATATATATTATTTTCTATTGCTACCATAAAAAATGATTACAAAAACTCAGAAACAACACCCATTTATTATTCCCCAGTTCTGTGGGTCAGAAGTCTGGGCGCAGTGGGGTTTAGCTGGATCCTCCACTGACAGCCTCAGGGGCTGAAATCAGGTTATCGGCTGGGCTGGGCTTCTATCTGGAGGCTCTGGGGAAGATCCGCTTCCAACCTCATTCGTGTTGTCAGAATTCAGGGCCTTTGCTCTTGCAGAATTGAGGTCTCCATTTCCCTGCCTCTGTCAACCAGTGCCAGTCTTTGATCCTAAAGGCTGCCCCCATATCTTCTCGTGTTTCCCATGTGGCCCCCTCCAGCTATGGCAGGTTAATTCCTTCTCCTACTTCAAATCTCTCCAGCTTCTTCTTCTGAAGCATCTCTGACCCTGCTAGAGAAATTTGTCTGGTCTTAAGGGCTGATATGATTAAATTGGGCCCACTGGGAAAAATCCAGGATAATATCTTTGTTGTAAGATCTATAACCTTAATTACATCTGCAACATCCCTTTTGCCATGTGATGTTACATATCCACATGTTCCAGAGATTAAAGCATAGACATCTTTGAAGGGCCATTCGCCTACTACACTGTTTTAAAATTGTCTTTTTCCCCACTTCGGGCTAGGAAATTTTTCCATTCGTATAGGTAAGCTTAACATTGTAGGGGGAAAAATGGACACTTTATGAATATATTCCATTTTGTACTTTAAATATATCTCTTTTACTTGGATTTTACTTAGTAATTGATTAAGATCAAAGATCATGCGTGAGTGCTTGAAGCTTGAAATCTGTAAAATGTTGCTTGGTTCAGGTTGGTACATAAAGCCACCATTCCTCCTGATTATTTTTAAATTCAAAGTCTCTTGCTAACCATCCCAGCCCACAAATTTACCTTTCAGCCTATTACTAGATTTTTGCTTTTCTGTTGCGTCAACTTTATCAACTGTGTTTTTGTGCTGTTGAGATTTACCACTTTGAACCACAGAAACCATTTTCTGAATTTCCTAAGATCGTCTTTCACTGTCATTTGTACAGACTCCGGATATGTCCCTCACAAATCTTGAAGATCTTTAAGGGCAAAAGTTTCTTCAGTTGAAATTAACTTTTATATTTGACTATTTCTAGAAACTTATGTGAGAAATGAATCTGTTAATCATTTGTTAGAAACCCAACTGAAAATTCATCTTTGAAAGCTCCTCTCTATGTAGTATTTATTTTCCCACATTTTCTAATTCAGGGAATTTATTATTGTTGGTTACTATTTATTAGCTTCACGTTAATTCCAATTACAATATATTTTATTTCACTTTGATAATTATGAAAATTATAATTTACACATCATAACACCTAACTGGTTCTTAAGTATCTATATAATTTAGTTGTATACATATACTTTTCAAAATGAACTTCAGATTGTAGTTAGTGGAATATTTTGGTGTAAAAGTGGGCATATTCTTGGTGAAATTGTTACAATGTGATTAATTTAGTAGATCAAATATATTAACCATAAAAATCATTGTGTTTTAAGATTAGAGCACCTTATGCCACTTCAATTTTACTTTGACTTATAACTTTATCTGAAAATAATGACCCTGTTAGAATCTGACCAGCTTAGAGATGTTTTCATTTATAAGCTATGTATTCTGTGAGTTGTATAACCTTTATGCCTAAGATATTGAAACTCGAGGGAAAATATCATCAGTTTTCCTGTAACAAAATGTTGTATTTCAAGGACATAGGACAGGGAAAGATTTTTCCTATCGTGAAATTTATCTATTCTCAAGGGCCATGTGCTAGTACTTCTGTTTCTGACCCTCTTAAATGTGTGACTTGATACAGTATCAGCAAGGGATGAAATTTTTAAAAAGGGAAATATACAGGAAATCAGGAGTATAGTCACATACAGATATGGTTCCTTGTGCAAAAGAGGGAAAATACGTTGTAACATACCGCACTGTTAGTGCTGTGATGTGGGTTTCAAAATACTATATATTTCAAATGTATTTTTATCCATCTTTTTTTTCCCAATCCCCAATTACCATAATTTTATTGGTAAAAGTTCTTTTCCAGGATGAAATAATGAATATAATTTTAGTGTGTAACTTGCAGAAATCAAGTCTCACTTTATACTTAGATCTTGCTGCGACATATCGGAAACTAAATGAGGTATATTTATACCCCAAGTCTCCTCCATACCTTGGAGAATTCAGTGTCTCTTGCCTCCTTCACCTTACCATTTAGAGACAGAAACTAAGCAAAGCGTCTTCTAGTTTGACTTTCACTGAAAATCACATTAAGCGATGTGTGTTATTTGAAGGAGACCTATAGATTGGCACCTAGCAGCTCTCTAACCTATTTCCAAATGGCACACATTATGTCATAAACCCTGTTCGGAGATCAGCAGCCTTATTAGGTAATTCAGTGTATTGACTGGTGCTGTATTCTCACCTGTGCTGCATTCTATTTTTTACTAACTAAAGTTAAAATACAGATTTTTCTGAAGGATTTTAGGCAAATCAGACTATAAGAGATTATTTGCTAAGTCGAATCTTGCCTCATGGTTGGTTGGGGTTCCTGTCTCCCAAGGCTATGGCTTGAGGAAGCAGCCTCTTGAACATCACAGTCAGCCGAGATAAGCTAAGCATGTTCTGGGTGGAGAGACAAATCACTTTAGAAAACAAGTTCTTCACTTCATATATTCAGGTTTTAAAGTCATGGCAAAAATAAGATTTCTTATTAGAAATTTCCTTCATTGGAAATATATCAGAAACACATTTAGTCCGTAAACACAGTCTGTTGAGTACTTCAGCTGCTTCCCCTAAAGGGAAAGTTGTTCCACTTAATCTGCCCTAGTTATGCTTTTGTTAGTAATCTGAGAGGAAATGGCAGTCATGCATCTTCCACGTCCTTCTCTCAAAATCGCCAAGCCAGAAAGAAGTGAAAAATACTTTTTCTCGACATTTATACGAGAAAATATTAAGAAGTAGAAGAAATACAATAAAGCCAAAGGGATAAACATCCTAAGCTTGTTTAAACAGCTTTGGCCTCATATAATTGCTTTTCTGTCAGCAGGATTATTAACAATTTCGGACATCTGAAAATTAAATTAACAGCCTGAAAATATTTTACAGAGTGAGATAGAGCATGATACATGAAACATGATGACCCCACTGAAATTCAGCCAAGCCAGTGCAGCTACTCATTGAGACAGAGAAGACAACTAGTTCATCATCACCGAGCAAATTAGACAGAGCAAATTAGTTTGCTACATTCCACAGTCTTAGCTACCGAAAAGAGTATATGCCACTAATTAGAATGAAAGAGCTCTAAGCATATTATTATCTATATAGAAAGAGAAAGCAAAGTTGTAGCTCGGATTGCCTCTCTCAAAGCTTGAAGCCTAGGTTACATGGGTATAAATTACACGTGCAAGAGTCTGTATGTGTATGTATGCGTGTTCATGCACGCATTTAAGTAGCAGCAGGTTTAGCATATTCTTGCATCTTGACCTAATGAAGTGTATAAAATTTTTCTCAAGGTTAATTGGAATTCTTTGGGAATGCACACATACACACATGAAACATAAAAACATTTTTACAAAGTGTGATCCCTTTCAATGAAGATTAGAGTAGCCATTTCATATCCTTTTTCTTGCATAGTCTTAAATTATTTTTTTCTTTTAAAACGTGTCTTGCCGTTACATGTGAAATAAATATTTGGACTTAGTTTATCATTGGAGATTAATCTGAAATCGTATTTTGTAGCCTTAATTAGCATTCATCTGCTTAATTGTCATTCTCAGCCCCATCATTTCCATTTTTCACTAACTTGAACAATGCTATCTTCTGCTGTTTGCACTTTAATTTAAATTTCTATTAAGGTTTATGAACAGTAATAAGGTCCTGTTTGAATATTCATTAGCTTCTGAATTGTGAACTATGAAAAGGTGCTTTCTTTTACCTTAATGAAACTGGCACAGCATGGGACTGATCAGTTGTGACATTTGATTTGAGGCATCCAGTGAATTTTCTCATTGTTTATTGACACATCTTGTCCAAACAGCTCCCTCGCAAGTGAGCGGAGTAATGAAGGAGAGAGTGTTGCAGCGGAGTGTCGAGCTTTCCTGGCAGGAACCGGAGCATCCCAATGGAGTCATCACCGAATATGAAATCAAGTATTACGAGAAAGTAGGTGCTAAGAACGGCTGAAATGTACAACGATGTGCGGTGTGTCTCATGTTCTCTACTGCGCTACAGACTGAAGTTGGTCATTATACCAACTCTTTGGAGCTACTTCAACATGCATAATTTTAACTATTTTTAATAACATCTCCCTGAATCTCTGGTTCATTATAATTATGATTTCTGCGTATTAAGTTTCTGTGTTACACAAGTGAATATATTCCACTAGTAGTATATTTATTTATTCTACTTTTGATATCATAATAATTAGACGTAGGATGTTTTAGGACCACAGAAACTGCAGAGCCCAATGCATTTTTGAAAAATGTTTCTTTTAGGATGTCTGTTTGGGCCCTTAATGATTCATTTAATTTATGTGTTTCAATGATGATGATGGTGGCCTCAAATAATTTAGTAATTTGAAAAAATAAGAATATTTTCTGTAATAAATATGTAGTATTCTCCAGACTTCAGAATCAGGTGATGATATTTCACTCCTTTAAACTCCTCCTGAAACTTATTTCATATATGTTATGCTAATCATGTCCACCACTTGTTTACACTTCTCTTGCCATGAAAAATAGTATGGCTAAAACCCAAGTGCTGCCCCTGTAATCTCCTTATAATATCTGAATTGTAGTAAATAGTGATGTACCTGAGTGTATGAGTACGTTTATTTCTGTCCCATCCGGAGAGAGAGAGAGGGGGCACCCTGTTCATGAATTATTATCTGGGCTCCACCTCACAGGAAGACCTGGTTCAAGGTTTGAAACATGGAAACTATTACTATTACTAATAGTAATAGTAATAATAAGTGTCCTATTGACTTAACTGAGTTAGCTGTAGTGCTGCCATATACACAACCATTTTAATCATTTAGACAGAATTTCAAAATAGGAGCCTAAAGCTTCGGTAAAACTTTGGGGTTGAAATGACTTGATTTAATGAATTAAATGCATACAGTGCACTGGCAATAGATACATTTTTTTCTCTTTGAAGACAAACAGAAAGTTTAAGGTTAGTTTCAATGTTCAGATTACGTTTAGAATATTTTTATCATTATTTCCATTATGAATTCTTGACTTCCGTGGCCAAAGTTACATTTTAAATACCTCACTTTTGCACCAAGGAGTACATTTCTTTTCCCATCAAATGTGTTTCCGAAGGAATCCTTGTTTTTAATGTTGTTTTTCTTATGTGCTCTAACAGAGTCCCTTCTGAAATTTCATCAGAGTTCAAAAGCAATAAGACACATTTAAAAAATATATGTTAGATGGTAAATGACAGTAAAGTTTCTTACAATGCAATGAAATATTTTGCAAATCCTTACTCTGGAATAAATTTGTTTAAATAGTTACTTTTCTATTTTGCATGACAGAAACAGAATATATCTACATTCCCTCAACTTAAAAATTAGGCAATTATTAGAAGAGAATGATTATATTGTATTTTATGTATGTGAGCATGTGATCTATATATGTATATATCGTTACCATCTATTATCAGTTATGCCTAGTTCTTTTATTTGAGATAAATATGTATTTATAATACCAACTATCATTTTTATAAATGATTATAATGAAGACAATCACAAATCAGCTTCACTAATCCAGTTTAACTACATATACATTTATTTACATTTTTGTAATTATCAGGATGAAGGCAAATCAAACGACCAGACTGACGTTTTCAGATTTCAAAGAATAGTTTTATTGCCAGACACAGTTGAGCACAGGATTTATTATAGAACACATAGGAAACTATGTAAAATTGTATATTTTGATGAATAGTTTCTATAACTTTTTTCATAAATAACCCATTAGAGTCATATCAATTAAGCTTTAAATTTGTACTTATTTGAATATTGTTTTGATGGAGGTTTTTATGTTCTAGAATTTTTATATTTATTTCATTCTTAGACTTATAGATAATATGATAAACACATTTTTAAACTTTACAAGTCTCAGTTTTCATATCTGAAAAATGAGGAAATTGAACTAAGTGATGTTTAAAATGTTGTCAAACCATAAATTATATACTTTAATTTTTATACTGATAGTTTTAATTTAAAATATTCCATTAAATACTATTTTGTAAAAGTGGTTTTATTCTATGAGAAATGCAGTTTTTAATGAAAACAATTGATACATCACTATGGTAGTAGTGTTACCTAAATTTCTTGATTTACTAGCCTTTTTCATTTTTAGCATATGGCTTTTTGCTTGCTAAGTAACATTCAGGCAAAATCTTAAGAGAACTACATTATGAAATAAAGACCTCTACTAAACCATAGATTTTACAGGTTGTGCCCATGCTTTGGTCAGTAGGACATTTGATTAGATTTATGGCTAAATAGTTCTTGCCACTATGCCCTCTACCAACAAATCAAAAGCTCAAAACATCATAAATGTTTCAACAAAATTATTTCTCTTTGAAATTTATAGAACAAAGGCATGTGTTTATATTTACATTTTATATCATCTTGGAAACAACTCAATGTTATAATATTCCACAGGGTACAATGTAGCCTTTATAAAAACAATGCAGCAAATTGAAATAAATTACAAGAGTTGGCTGTCAGATTGCCTGGTTGCAATCACAATTAAATATTCCCTGTATATATTGTTTCTAGGATCAAAGGGAACGGACCTACTCGACACTAAAGACCAAGTCTACTTCAGCCTCCATTAATAACCTGAAACCAGGAACAGTGTATGTTTTCCAGATTCGAGCTTTTACTGCTGCTGGTTATGGAAATTACAGTCCCAGACTTGATGTTGCTACACTAGAGGAAGCTACAGGTAAAATGTTTGAAGGTAATTACCACCTTTGGTTTGGATTCTTACTCTCTATAACTCTGGCATATTTTTTTCAATATTGAGAGTGATGATTTGGTCCAAGATAATTTTTAAATTTAAAGGTAAATATATGTGCATATCTATATAGTTCCTAAAGGTTATTCAGAATAATAATTTAAAATTTGCTGTTTTGTTTAGCAATGTTAGAACATTGTGATTTAAATTAGTCTCTTTAATGCATACTGAATTTATTTTAAATAGATGAAGTCAGAACCAGAAGCAAGATTCATCCAATTGTATATTGACATAGGCTGTTTTTGTAGAGCCCCAAATGATCTTACTCTAGTTGTGTCAGTTAAAGCTGCTCCTTCACAGAATCCCCCCACAGCTAAAGCCAGGTTGTACACCAGGGTGGGCCAGAGAAAGATGATGTGTAAGAATCTGTGTTAATTTAAGCTACTTGTCCGTTAGCAGTGATTTCAAAAATTGCAGTTCAGGAAGAAGATCTTTTATTTATTTTTATTTTTATCATCTTTAGTCATTGTTTATGAAATAGTTCAAGCATACTAAAGAATATATTTAAAGTATATATGAAATATTAAGAAGAATAATTAAATGAATATCTCTGTATGTACCACTCAGCTTAAAAATAGAACACCACCACCATCTTGAATTCCCTTTATCATTTTGTTTATGTTTTATAATGCACCATAGGAACATAACAAAAATATATGAGTCTATAGTGTATCAGAAATAAACAGATGTATCTTGGGACGCATGTCCCAGTTTACTGTCAGAGTGCAAGTTCAGTACAGCCTGAGTACCCCTGCTGGTTGCTCTTCAGCTAGGCTGAGGTCTCAGGGTGTCTTTCTGTATTTTGAAGTTTTGATTTCTCCTGGTGTTACTGCTCAAACACAAGGTTCACCCAGCTGTTACCGCCTCCTCTCCTTGCCAGTCTAGTGTTCCCACACATTCTAAACAAAAATGAGCTAAAAAATGTTGTATGATTTTCTTCCCTCAATTTTTAACAAAAGGTTTTTAAAATAAATTAAATCAATATAATTTTAACCAGAGTTATTTTGACTTCAGAAAAGGATTGTTAGATCTTTTAAAAGGTAAACTGATAAATATCCTTTGCATTAACTAGTGCTTTTTGAGTTTGCTAACAGTATTCTTTCAAAATATTTTGTTATATTTTTTATTTAAGCAATAACTCTTACAACCTTAAATAATAAAACACATATTGAAATAAATTTGAAATATAAATCATTTACCTAGAACTGTAGACACAAAGGTATCAGTTGAAAAAAAGTCACATATTTTGATGTGATATACTTAATGCCATTATTCGTTATTATCTTTTTTAAACAGAGTATATAAAAATAAAAAATATCTAAATTCAGTAGCCTCAAAAACATTAAGGCATTTTAAGATTTCAACCTTTAAACATTTGAGTGGTCTTGTGTTAAATGTTCTAGTAGTTTTCAACTTAAACTGATCTCATAATATTTCTTTATGATTTCTAATATAATAAAAACATTCAAGTGATTTTTTTTGTATTTTAATGAATAGTTTAAACTTAAATTAGAAACATCAATTAGTTATCTTACATTTACCTAAACATTATTTCTAAGTTAAACCTTCAGGTTTGAAAACTTTCAAAATGAATTTGTACATTTTCCTGACTTCATAAATTGAGAATATTGAGCCAAACTATTATTTATGCTGAGATTCATAGATATTATTTTCTCTACTTAAAATTGAAGTAACCAAGACTCAAAGAGATTAAGATAAAGTAGTAGAACCTGAATTATTACATGAAATGAATGTTAAAAATGGACTTTTGCATTAGAAAGAATTGGATGATTTTTGTCATCAGAATATTCTCTCCCGCTGGAATGTAAAATTGATGCAAGACTTATCCACATCTCCTTTTCTTACTATTGTCTTGCCAGTGCTTACTATAGTGCTTGACACATAGAAGGCACTCAGTAAATAAGCAAAGAATGAATACCTCAGAGTCATCAGCATAGAACAGATTATGAGTATCAATCTGTGCTGGTAGACATATTCCTCGTTTCACATCTCAGCTCTGCCATATCCAGTTGTGGGACTTTGGATGAGCTACTTCTCTGTAACCTAATTGCTCTGTACCCAATTTACAGGGTATTCTGAAGATTAAATGAGCTAATGTACACAAAGTGCCAAATACAGTGCCTAGCACACGGAAAGTCGCAAGTGTCAGCTTTTATTATTTAGCAAAGTCATTCTCAAGCTTCTTGGTCTCAGGAACTCTTATAGGCTATTAAAAAAACATTGAGGATTCCCAAAGAGATTTTTATTATTTGGATTATGTCTATCAATATTCACCATGTTAGAAATTAAAACTGAGAAGCTTTTAAAACACAAGAACACAGAAACACACATTTCATTAGCCATCAGTGATGATGTTATCATGTGTCATGTAACTTCTGGAAAACTCAGCTGTGCACTTGTGAACATATGAGAGTGAAAAAGGCAAAAAACATTTTCATATTATATGAAAATAGTTTTGACGTTACAGATCCCCCAGAAAGCTCTTGAAGGACCCTGAGGGTTTCACAGACCCCTGTTAGGGAACTACTGATTTAGCATAAGATATGTGCTGAGAATTAGAGATGCACGGAGACACATGACACAGTTGATGCTCTCAGTTTAAAGTTTAGTGAAAGGGAGAGACTTGTATACAAATTCTAGCCATACAATTAAGAGCTGGTAGAGTGCATGGCCTGACGCTATCAGAGTTTCGGGGAGCAGGGATTCACTGTGCTAGGAAGGAGGGCAAGAGGGAAGATGCCACCAAAGAGAAGTCACTTGAGCTATTTGAAAAGAAGAGTTAAACAGATTATTCTGTTGCATATATATCCTCAAATTCTCTTCTAGGCAGAGTTAACTCTACTGCTTTTACAATTTTAAACCTTGGTGTGGTGATTATGGCACTTAAAAATTATGTTTAAAATTTATTACCCATGAAATAGATCAAAATATTAACCATAAATGTTGACTACGGAAAGATTTAAGTATGACCCTGACTATACATAAAAACTTATACATAGAGGCCGGCCCGGTGGCATAGTGGTTAAGTCCGCACGCTCCTCTTCAGCAGCCTGGGGTTCGCAGATTTGGATCCCAGGCACAGAACTACGCACCGCTTATATGTGGTAAGCAGCCCACATATAAAGTAGAGGTAGATGGGCGCAGATGTTAGCCCAGGGCCAGTCTTCCTCAGCAAAAAGAGGAGGATTGGCAACAGGTATTAGTTCAGGGCTAATCTTCCTCACAAAAAAAAAAAAAACTTATAAATAAATATTCACAAATTATAATTCATTATTCACCTGAGTTCAGTTTTCTCATTGGAGTTCTGTTTCTGAAACTAAGGGAAGAACTGAGCCTGGCACAAGCAAAGAAGTAGACCCATGGGACACATCAACTGAATGGAAACAATTTCTGCACATAGGTGTATAATTTTTTCCCTCCTTAAGAACAGAAGTACTCGATTCTTTTTCTTCTCTTGATGTATATAAAAAGACAGATAAAAGTAAAAAACAACTGAACCAAACAAATAAACAAAAATACTTGAAGTCATCTTTTCTCTGTTGAATGATAATAGACTGTAATTCAGAAATTAAAACTTAGAAGTTGTTTTCTTTTTCCTCTTTTTTTTTCCCCTTGTCTAGCTCCCTCGGGGAGCAAATCAGCAGGTGCTGACTTGGGGAGTGTGTATAATACCTTTGTTAGAAACTAACTATTACATCAGATCTATTTTTACTGTTTTTCAATATAAGAGCTATCTATTATTAGCCTAGGTATACAAAATTAAAAGATGAGTTGTCAAAAGGAGGGAGACATAGATAAACTAGAGACAGGCCAATCAGAAAAACTTTATGCTGCCTATTGTGGCAAGACATACTTTGCCTACATAGAATTTACTACTCCAGAGAGCCAGTCCCTTGCCACTACCAAGAAGGAACAGTATTTTCCATCCTGCCTTCAATTAAAGATTACAACTGTTGGTTGTTTCAGAAATGCACAAACTGTATTAGTTTGACAATATATATTATATGAGATTTGCAATTGGATCATTTATTGGAATATACATTTTCATTGTTTTACATGTCTTGGATTATTTTATGAAGTCTATACTAGTATTGAAAATATAATACTCTGGGGAAAATATGACAATTGCAAATTACCATATAAGTAAAACTTCATTAATTTGAAAAAATGGAAGTGATAAGACCATGTGACTTGATAAACAGTCAGAATCAGAGGCGGCTTGAAAGGACATGTAAACATATACTGTCCCCAAAGAGACTCTCAGAAAGGTCCAGGTGGGCTTGCTTTAATGAGCACAGAAGAATCACTTAGCATTGTACAGGAAGTGTCTACAATTAGATAATGCTGAAGGGTTTTTTAAAGTACTTGCAGGGGGCCGGCCCGGTGGCTTAGCAGTTAAGTGCGCACACTCCGCTACTGGCGGCCCGGGTTCAGATCCCGGGCGTAAACCGACGCATGGCTTCTCCGGCCATGCGGAGGCAGCATCCCACATACAGCAACTAGAAGGATGTGCAACTATGACATGCAACTATCTGCTGGGGCTTTGGGGGAAAAAAAGGAGGAGGATTGGCAATAGATGTTAGCTCAGAGCCAGTCTTCCTCAGCAAAAAGAGGAGGATTGGCATGGATGTTAGCTCAGGGCTGATCTTCCTCACAAAAATAAATAAATAAAATAAAAATAAAATGAAGTACTTGCAGAAAGTTTGCTCTTTCATAAATAAGCTCGCTTCTCTGCGATCTTAAACTCTCAAATGTGTGTATTGCATACTTTATTAAGTTAATGCAAGTAATTCTGCTTATCTTTTTCCTGAATCATGGTGGATTATAAATTCATGCTGATTTACCATGATTGCGTGATGATTTTTATTTAATATTGATGATACGAGAGAGAAAGTACCTAAGGTACTTTGAAAAATACACAGAATATATATTTTGGTTCCTTTTTTTACATACCAGAAAAACAGACACGGAGGGATCAGCTACCTTGCTGAGGAAAAAATAGAGATTTAATAGCAATTGTAGAAGAAAGATCTCTATCTCTTGATTCATAACTAAGATTCCAGCAATAAGGCATTGTGTAGGTTTCTTTTATGGCTGAGGAATATAAAATAGATGAAAGTAGTGTTCTTACCACTTCTTTAAGTGCAAAACTAAACATTTATTTAAATTTATTTTGTTACAATATAATGCATTTATTCAAAATTAGAAGTGAATTAAATAGCATAGATATCTCTTGTTTATAAGATTTTTTTAACCTCTCAAGTTCTTGCATGGTATTGAGTGTTTCTGAGGGTGTCTTCTCTGTTTACAGCTACAGCTGTCTCCAGTGAACAGAATCCTGTTATTATAATTGCTGTGGTTGCAGTGGCTGGGACCATCATTTTGGTGTTCATGGTCTTTGGCTTCATCATCGGAAGAAGGTAAAACACAGATTTATTCTAATCTGTAATATAAAATGTATTGATTTTGCAGAATTATGTCAGCCTATTAGTTATCGTTTAGTTTAAGTAGTAAATGCAAACATTCTTTGTCTGATATGAAACACTAAAAGTCAATAAATTGTCATTCTCTCAAGGTCAAAATACAGTGTGAGCTTGATCATCCCTTTAATTTAAGAGAAATGAGTATTGTAATTTCTATTGGGTGAATTTTTATTGGTTATTTTCAGAGTTAGGTTTTTATAATAAATATAAATGATACCTGGGGAAAGATTTACTCTTTTAGTTAATGGTTTGTGGAACCCATTTAAAATCTGTTGTTGTTTCAGAAAAAAAGTATAAGCAAATATTCACTCTTTGATATGTCTAAATCGACAAAATATGTACTTTCTACATTCCCTCACACAAAGACTTTATATTCCGTGCATTTTTTAATCATGTGAATTGCAATGTTATTATTAAATTAGTTTGTAACTATAGACAGGAAGTTTTTGTACTTTGTTTATAGCTCTAACTAGCATGTTGTTAAATAATTAAGGTGTATTGTACTGAATTTTAAATATGTAAAGTAAAATCATGGATTGAGATTGTCACCGATTTGGTTTTCTTCCAGGCACTGTGGTTATAGCAAAGCTGACCAAGAAGGAGATGAAGAGCTTTACTTTCATTGTAAGTGTTTGGCTTTTCTTTATTATTACGTACCCCAATTAATACAGAAACTTGGTTGTTAGTATTGACATGAATAAATTCCTAAAACATCATGCTTAAAATTATATACTGAGCTCAAATTGTTGCTTTAAAGCATTTGAACAAGATTTTTAGAATGAAGTCATATGACGTGATTTTTTAAAAAATAAAATATATTCAGAAATGTAATCTCTCAAGAAATTTTAATGTAACTATATGATATTCAGCTGCTTTTATGTCACAATTTTTCCTTTTGCAAGCTTTGCCCAATTGTTTCATACCATTCTGATAATAATCCATTAAATGTTACATATGCCCATGTTCTTGCTAAAGAATTTATTTTGAGTTAGAAGCACAGGCCCCTTTTTTCCATCCAATGAGTGCTGCTACCATTAAAGACTAAGCTTTTCTCTTCAGCTACTATACATTGTCTATCACTGATAGATATTTCACCAGACATAAATAGTATAATAGGATTCAATCTTCCAATGTGCTCCTGTGTATTTGGGTTACCTGATACTTACAAATTCATTTTAGAAACCATATTCAGAAGAGAGTTTAGGGAACCCAAGAAAATAGATGTCCATCTGCATTTACCTTAACTTGTTGCAATGTAGATGGCAAGTGAAAAAATGAGAGCCATGCAGGTGAATGTTATTACTTTATGCAGCCAAAGTAAAAAACCTAACAATCAAATGGTTTTAGTTCTGATAATTAATGATATTCTTATCCAAACCCATTATTCCTATTTTTAATCTTTGAAAATATTTTTTAAATTTTTTATTTATTATTTTTCTTAGTGGCTATAATCTTTACTAAAATTTCTCATGGATAGATACATTTCCTAATTGGCATAAAAGTTATATCTATTATTATGTTAATTATAAAATTATGTCAGTATCTAAGAAGATATTGTCATTTACCTATCTGAATGTCACAAGAATATATAAGCATCAATCAAGAAAATGTGTGGTTTAAAGACAAATTGTGAACACTGTTATTATCATTCCTAAGTTTCTTCAATGTGTTTTTATTTGTTGAACCAACGGTTACCTTGACTTTAATTTTCGAAAGAGAAGTGGCTTTACATAATACATATCCAGATTGATTATGAAACTCTGGAGAATTCCAATGACTGAAGGCAGGCAGAAAGAGCATATGGAATACTACAGATTAATGTATAAGGGGTCACCGGAGGTGGCTTTATCATGAAGTTTAAGCTTTGGAGCCCTTCCCTTCCACAGACCTTGTTCAGGGCCCTGGGGGAGCCCCACCAATTTTTTGTGTATAATCTTTTTTTTTTCTTAAAGAGAGTATCCCAAATTGTAGAAAGTTCAAGCCTTACAAAATTTAAATCTACCCCTGATTATGACTGAATGCGTGTGATTCTGCCACCTCCCCCCTGGGATCATTTGATATGCTCCCAATGTTGGTGCTTCCTTTTGCTAATCCGGCGAGGATTTTCCTGTGACAAGCCTCAGTAATGAGGGTGCCGTAGGCGGTTTATACCTAAAGGATGTACAGAAAAAGTGGAGGTTACATTTTTTTCTCTTTCATGGCATGAGAGAATATTTTTAACACTTCCTCAAACAAGAAGGAGAGGATGAAAACATGAATGCCTAAATGTTTGTATCTAGCTTAAAATGTATATAGAAGAGTGACATGAGCCTATAGTTCCTGGAATTCCTGGTTCTGCCCATATGTGAATAATTTGATGACAGAATCATTTAATATTGCCTTAATCAGTATGTCACTTTTCTTTCCTCTATTGAGTGTATCTGAGATATCCCAAAATTCTCAAATACATGTTAGTTTATTTGCTTTTAGCTTGCGAGTTAATGCAGAAGGTAAATTGAAAGATGGCTTATCTAACTAAAAGTTGTTATATAGCCTTATGCTTAAGTGTCATCACTCGGTTTTAATATTTTGATGCCATTTCCTTTTTTTACACTTGACATCCAGTTTGTAATTAGAAAAAATAGAGCTGCATGTTTTACTTGCTACCGTAAACAAGATAAGCTTGATATATATAAACAGTTTTCATCTCTGGAGCAAAATATCAGTGGTGGTTTTAAGATATTTAACATTCATGAGAAATGTAAATGAGATTGTAAAACACAAAAAAGCTTACACTCTTAAATTGAAATATGCAACAGACCAGAATAGTCAGAAATTATGTCAATATTTTCTTTACTTTAAAACGTCCATTTTTAAATGAATAATGAAAAAATAAAGGGCACTTAACATATCCTATCCTGGTAAAATTCTTGGTATTTTTGAATCACCCTTTTTACAGGGATATCTTTTCTTGTCATTTGATGAGAACCAGCCATTTCATTTGATTTTATGACTGTATCTAAAATACGTAAAGTACAACACTATGGTCACCAGCTATTTACAAGTTGGTGTCCTTTTATTCCTTTAGTATACAGACAATTTTCTTAGGTGCTAAGACACCAGATTGAATTTTTGCAGAAACATGAAAGCAATCATTTAACTAGCTTTTAGAGCACTGAATTTAATAGAATGTCCAGTCATTTGTATCAGGCGCCCTCAACTCTCCATGGCCCCAAGTGCTACATTTAAAGATATAAACACAATGGAGGAGTTTAGTGAAGCAATTCCAATTTACATTTTGTTTCCTCCTACCATTTCTTCTAACAATGTCTTTGAATCCAAGCTGGGCAGTATTTCATGTTTTTATGCCAAAATTGCTCTGGCCTGTCAAAATGTTTTATGACAGCTTGAATAAAGAACCATCAGAGACCCATTTGAGATGCAGAAGGTTACCTCCAATCTAGCTCCCTTATCACAAAACAAAACCAAAAAAGCAATGAAAGAAAGAAAGGAAGAGAGAATAGAAAGGGAGAAGATGGCTCATTCTCCATCTGCCTGCCAATCTAGGAGGTTAACCTATTGTTTTCTTCCCTTCTCTCTTTTTCTCCTCCCCCCTCTTCCCTGTACTCCTTCTTTCTTTTCTCTTTCTATCCCCTCTCTCTTTTTTTCTTGTGTTTTTTTTCATGTTCAGCTTTAGTAACAAATGAGCATCTGTCAGTTTTATAAACTGCAACAATAATTGTTTAAGACAATCAATTTTGGATAAACAATCAACTACAGCAGAATAAATCAAGATTTTTAAATCCCATTTTCCTTTATACATTCTGCTTCTTTTTGTTTGTTATGTGTTTATTTTTAAAATATAATTTTAATTTAATGTGATGACATAAGCACAGTTAGGCTGCAGTGTAATACATAAAGAAATATATTGTTCTCCAAATAGTAAGATTTAATGAAAAGATTGTTCAGTGGCTTTGTTAAAAACAATAAAGTTTTTTTGAGGATATAGTGTAATTCTTTTTGTTGCATTAATATAACCAAATATATGCCTATCTATCTTATCTTTGTCTTTAACCAAATGATTAGATTTGGAATACATTATTGTAATTGAATTTGATTTAAAGTGGACATAGCCTTATCTGTTACCTGCATGCTTCTGGGTGCATTTTAAGAAGATTTTAACTTTTATGATGATTCTATGTTGTTTGAATTTTGACTACCTTTTCTGAGGCTTATTGGCTACCTCCTCATAGCAGTTAAGATCTTCCAGAGCCTTATAATTGAAAGTTCATATAAACCATTCTTTTTTCAAATTGCTGTCATACATGGTTAGCAGATCCCAGGAATATTGTAAATTTTCTAACTTTACTCTGCACTTTGTACATCTGGCCTCTATTGCCCTTCAAGGTAAAGATGAAACTGTATCTTTAGTAAATTTCTGATTCTGTGATAGCGGTCCCTCACATCTTGTATTTATTTTATGTATATGTCAATGGTGGTTGGTCTTTAAAAAATAAATCAAAAGAATAAGTAAGATGTCTAAATGTTTTTAATATTGCTGTCAGTGTAGTAGGCTACCTGTAAATGAAATGTCTTCTTTTCCCAGTGTATTAATTTGGTTGATTGACTGACTGATAGATTTATAAATGTGTTTCCAAGTCCATTACAAACCTCAATATGGCTTGAACTATGCCATGATAGCAGTGAATTTAATTAAACCTCCAGTCTGATGAGTCATGTCAGAGAATTTTGGTGATGTCTTTTGTTGATTTACTGGAAAAGCAATTCAGTTAGTAACCTATGAGCTGGAACCTATGTTACCTATAGAAGCTTGCAGATAATACCTATACGCCAGCAGACTGAAGTAGTCTGTTAAAACTGCTGTGAATCAGGTGATGTGGAAGCAAGTTCACTGTTCCAAGGAGCACTCTGCATAATGAAATTCCTGGGCTGACTGCACAATAAGTGCTTTGCTTCATCACAGTCATGCTTTCTTACATCATTACAGTTAAATTTCCAGGCACCAAAACCTACATTGACCCTGAAACCTATGAGGACCCAAATAGAGCTGTCCATCAATTCGCCAAGGAGCTAGATGCCTCCTGTATTAAAATTGAGCGTGTGATTGGTGCAGGTAAGGCTGTTGTAGCTTCCTTGTTCAGCTGTTCCATTTAGCCGAGATCGAAAGTCATACATCATAATGACAGGCAAATAATTATACTTCAAGTATAGAACTTTTGCATTTACCTCAACTGTTAGAAGCAATGAGGCTGTACTTGTTTATGAAATCATAGGAAAAAAGGTGAAAAAGAAGCATGTTGCACAGAGAATCTGTTTATCTTTTGTCTTCTGTTGGATTTTTAAGATATTGTTCTATTATAAGCTATTTCATAATAGTTCTGGCCTGTTGTTCAAGAAGTGACTTAAAGTCACTTAAAAGTATTTAAAAAATTAGAATGTTCCTGAATTTTGCTAGATACATTTCCTGCAAATAGCAAATACATTTCCTCCTATTTGATTACCATTTTCTTGCTAAGCTTTCATATTTATCTTTTTTTCTTGTATTTGTAGGTATTAGTTACTAGCCACTGCACTATTTAATTCCATGTAGAAAATTAATATGTATGTATTATTTAAAAGGAATATTATTTTCTATGTATATAATGTATTTTCATAATAATTATACATTTTTGGATCCAAGTCCCTTAAGTCGAGCAGACATAGTGCATATGAATCCCTGACTTTTAAATATTTAAGAAATGTTTCCTTCTTAAACTATAAAAGCAATAGCAATGTTTAGGATTTGCTAATGTGCCCTTATGCTCTAGTAGACGGTGTACGTTATACAGTGTATTTCAAATCTAAATGTTGTTTCTGAAAGAGTTCTTGTTAATCCAGTTAAAAAATAATAGCTTGTGTAACAGATCATTGAGGAAAGCTTAAAAGTGCTTTTAAAGAATTTAATGCATTTACTTTGAGTGAGGAAATATTTCTGAAATTAAAATACTCCTGCCTGTTCTGTTACTTCAGGAGAATTTGGAGAAGTCTGCAGTGGTCGTTTGAAACTTCCAGGAAAAAGAGACGTCGCAGTAGCCATAAAAACCCTGAAAGTCGGTTACACAGAAAAACAAAGGAGAGACTTTCTATGTGAAGCAAGCATCATGGGACAGTTTGACCACCCAAATGTCGTGCATTTGGAGGGGGTTGTTACGAGAGGTAGATGTTGGTTATATCTTTCATTTGTCAGGTGGACTGTCAGAATTAGTGTCATTTCATACATAATAAAAGAAGAAAATTATGAACATATTGCATAACCTAAATGAATGTTTTATCTTGGTATGATTGAAACTATTTTTATGTTACCACCTCAGAAAAAAAAAATCAGGATAAATGAATGCAGGGCTAGAGTTAAAGAATACATCTGATAGATCGATGGAGTGACTGACAGATATTTTCATTTAGCTTCAAAAGCCATAAAAGTGATACAGTTTAGTCTTTACATTTTTATATAAAGTGTCATTTTCTGAGTTTTAGTCACAAAGCAGGAGTCAGAAGAATACACTGACTTTTCTTGTTTAATTTTATGAATCATGATCATGTTCCACACAGACATTTAATGACTCTCTGAGCTTAGCAGCAGCAGTAGAAACACTAGAAACATTCACAGCTCACCTATTCAGTCTTTTGAAAAAAGTACCATGTGTTTTATCCAAGGTGAGAACAGGAATAACCCTAAAGTTTAGATTATGGTTCTGAGCAACACTTTTTTTCTTCTATATACATGTCTTTTGAATTTAGGGAAACCTGTCATGATTGTGATAGAATTCATGGAAAATGGAGCCCTAGATGCCTTTCTCAGGGTAAGTAACAAAATTATCCTCCTATTCTAAATATACTATACATGTTACCAATATAATTTTCTGCACTTGTTTTTTGCAGTGTAAATGTGAACATTATAAACTTCAACAGGTCAGAAAATTGTCTTTGAAAAGCAGATTAAAAATCAGTCCTAGATTGGATTGAACTAGAATCTTTCTGAGCATTTAAGTAATACAGCGTAGTTAAAAAAGAGTTTCCATTCTATTACCTCAAGTACAGAGGATACCTGAAGCCCTGTAATTTGAACAAATGTTGTAGAGTAGCATTTTACTTTTTCAGTACAATCATAAATAAAATAGAAAGGTAAAACAGAGAAACTAAAAAGTGAGATAACCATTCAATGTTGGCACAATAATCCCAATTCTGCTGTGTGGAACCATTTCTATTATATTGTTATGTCGACATCAAGCATAAGATGTAGAATTATTAACATTTTTTAAATGAATAGTATGAGATTATTTTAGTAAATGATAAATTCTAGATGTATAAACATACCTATTTTTACTCTCACAGACTTTTCATCTAAGAATATGAGCATGTTAACATTTTACCAAATAGCAAAGAGAAATAATCTAAAGAAGACAAGGGCATGCAGAGTTCTCATACATGATCTAGAATGATACAATCAACCTAGACTTATAAGCAATCAGAGGCTTTAGAGAAATTTTTATTGCTGCATATTTATGATATGCTTAACTATGAACTCTCTGGGAGAAGCCATCACCTAGCAAGTTCATCAATCAAACCAATGTGTTCATGCACCATATTTTTGATTCAGTTGGAGAAATGTGTGGGTTAAAAATATATGGTGGCCAGTCCGGTTACAAAGAGTTCTCCACCCTGTTTGCTAGTACATCTATTTTAGAGAATCTTTATTGCAAGTAATGTTCCTACCTCTCGCAAAACAGGGAAAAGAATAAAATGAAAACAAAGTCAGCCAGTACAATCATTTTCTACTTCTTGATTTCTCTTTATCATTAATCAAAACATTTTCCCCTTCTTTTTTTTACTGTTTGGAGAAAAAATCTTAATGTATCTGTCTTCATCCCTTTATATATTTTTAGATTATTTATATAATTTTTTAGCAAGTGGGGAAAACACTTAGCTGTCAGGGATAATATTTTTGGATATTCTGTTCCCTGACCATGACTTAAAAATTAGCATAGACTTTTGGGTTTGCATAATCTGAAACTATTATTAATTTATGTTAATAACATCGATATAAATAACTAAATGATTACCAAAATTCTATTTTGTATTATTTGGCTATCAGTTAAATCAGCACCTGTTATGTTTTTCACAAATGTCTGTATTATATAGAAAATTAGTTACTAATTTCTATTATACAATAGTAAATGACAAATGTGCAGACATTTTCCATGGTGGTTTTTTCTCTTTCAGAGTACATTTAACTGGACTTTTATTTTTGTCCATATTTTTTTTGTCCAATATTTTGTTTATATTTTGTTTCCTGTAGAAACACGATGGGCAATTTACAGTCATTCAGTTAGTAGGAATGCTGAGAGGAATTGCTGCTGGAATGAGATATTTGGCCGATATGGGATATGTTCACAGGGACCTCGCAGCTCGCAATATTCTTGTCAACAGCAATCTTGTTTGTAAAGTGTCAGATTTTGGCTTGTCCCGGGTCATAGAGGATGATCCAGAAGCTGTCTACACAACGACTGTAAGAAAAAGTCTATTACTGCACCTCTTCATAATCCTGAGATTTTCCTACCAAGAAAGCAGGGTTTAATACACCACTAAACAGGAGAAAAGAGGCAAATTGATCTCAGCTCTTTGTTGTTGCTGTTTTTCCTTTTGGAAGAGTCGTTGTTGCTTTTACAGGCTACATATAGCCTAAGAGAATAAGTAATAATAAGAATGATAACATGCTTATCTTATATTGAGATGCTGGTATAAATAATTTGCGGTCATATAGGCAACATGTAGTTACTAGCACTCAAAATTGTAGCAGAAAAATATAATCCAATTTTAAATAAAGATTTTAAAAGAATATGCTAATTCTTATCTTAACTTTTGTGACTTTAGAAAAATGGAAAATTTGTGAGGATTTACTATAATATCCGATATTTCATTCCATTTTAATGGTTATTTCATTGTCTTTTGACTAGACTCTTGCCCAAAGACCAAATAGGATGCATTAAATTGAGTTGACTTAAAAATGAAAACTTGTAATGACATTTTAAAAAACAGATTAGTAACTTTAAATACACTTAGAGAGGTTCAAGATGAATAGACCAAATACTGCTGAATTGCCAACCAAGTATACAAATGTTTAACTGTAGCTTTATGGTACTGCTATAAATGATTTATAAGTTATTATACATATTTAAAATGTTACTTTCTTTTTATAACAGGGTGGAAAAATCCCAGTGAGGTGGACAGCACCTGAAGCCATCCAGTACCGGAAATTCACATCAGCCAGTGATGTCTGGAGCTATGGAATAGTCATGTGGGAAGTCATGTCTTATGGAGAAAGACCTTATTGGGACATGTCAAATCAAGATGTAGGTGTTACACTATTTAAACCAGAAGGATTTAATACATTAATATCCGTTATTATTGGAACATGTAGGTAATGGCTTATAAGAAGAAACTTTTATAGAATTAGAAAAATATGATTGCTGAGTTTTCACAATTATCACCACAAATTTTCACAATAATTACCGTAAATTAGTGGTTCAATTAATTTCATTTTGGTTTTTATTTTGAAGAATTGCTTTTACTTTTTTTATTTAAATTCTCTGGACATAATAGAAGCCTACAAAGGATATTTCCTCCTTGATATAGATAATGATGCTGTGTTTGCACAGCTGAGTGGGAGAGTCACATGAATAAAAGAATCATTTGCAGAGGGGGAGGGGAAGATTGTGTTTTATTTTGTCTTTGAAGCTTATCTTTCTTTTTCTTTTAATGTTCTGAGAAAATCTGTTTAAATTATCTACTGTTGATTGACTTAATTAAATTTTAATTTCATAAGGTAATCTAGATTTTATGATCGATATTGGTAAGTGTTTCATAGTGATATTTTAGATTGTAATCAAAATGGGAGTGCCCTTGGCAATGCCTAAAAATAGAAAAAAATTAGTACTTATTAAGTGTGTACCCTGTTGCCATGAGGGCATACTAAGACATAAAACATACTGTTATCCTTTGAGAAAAGAAGCTGATAACAGTTCTTGGGGGTATACTTCTCACACCAAGAGACCATTTATCAAACAATGTAACATAAGTGCCACTGAATATTTGCTTCTATTAGGTTGAATTTTATGAAATTGACATTTTTGGAGTCAGAAACATTCAAATACTGGCAGGTTCATATAGTTCAACTTATTGACAATGTGACTGAAATTTAGATAAAAACAGAGCAAGTGTAAAATCCATAAAGGTACCCTGAACTTGAACTAGAAATCTGGAGAAGACTTTGGTTCATAGCTGATGAGAGAATTCTCCAAGGGAGCACACTGGAAAGTCCAGAAGCAAAGGCTTAGCGAGGTGTATGGGGACCAACCTAATAGACTTTCTTTCCTGTAACAGAGATGTGTACATTGGGAGTGATTCAAAAGGAAGATTAGGTTGGGGCAAAAGGATGCAAGATTTTTTTGAAGGAGTTTGGAAATGATACAAATTTAAAGTGCTTGAAGAGGAGAGTAAAAAAAATAAATAGTGCTTGAGGAAAATCTATATTGGCATTTAGAAGAAGGATGTGACTAGCAAACTGGTTTGAAGTAGTCAATTCTTGAGGTACTATAAACATGGACAGCAATAGAAACTGAATACAGTTAAAATTGAGTTATTTTTCAAAAAGAGATCATGAATATGATTATATTAAATCAGTATCTTTGTTTTTAATTTTAGAATTTCCTATACCAAATGTCTGTGCTTCTTAATATGTGTAAATAGTTATTTTTAGACAACTGAAGTCAGACTGTTGGTAAGGTTATTTTCAGTACATTTGCCTACAAATTTCTGCATTAACTAAAAAGTTCACAGCCTGAAAAGGGGAGCTTTTAAATCATTTAAATATTTTGGTATTTTGAATTGAGAGATGACATGAAACTTTTTTGTGTTTTGTTTTTGTTTTTCAAAGATAAAAGTCTAAATGATGAGTCTGTTTGGCAGAGGCAAAGTTGTTAATATTTGACAGGTCTCAGTGTCAAAGATTTCATGGACTGTCAAAATGTGGGCAACAAATCCTTAGGGCAGAGAAAGAGAAATATTTACATTCCCTAGACATTTGGTAGAGTTTCATTTCTTTTGACACCTTCCTTCTGTACTAGATTCAAACATAAAAGGAGTGACAAGAATAGAAGATAACTTAAATTCAAAGTTCACTTAACTTCTAAAAACAAATAATAGAAATGGTTAAGAAGAAAAAATAAATATCAGCAATTTTAATTTTTAGAATTCCATAAGTGTTGTTTTTTTGTTTTTCTTGAAAATGTAATATGGAAAATATATAATTAGTATATCAAGAACTAATAAATATTTTTATTTATCAAGGGAAATTATTATATCTACAGTGAAGTTTAGTTCGGACCTAGAATATTTAGTACCGTCTTTCTTTCATTTTTTTAATTTTGAGGTCTAAATTATTAAATTCAGACACAAGTTTCTATAATAGTAAGAGATTACCTACACAGTTCAGTTTTTATAGTGAAATTGATGTTAATATTCCTCGTATAGGATAATATTCATTATTTTATATTTATGTGATTAAAGTGTTATTTGAGCAATTTTTTCAATATGCAAATAGTGAAAAAGACTGGATAATGTAAAATAATGGATTCCATTCTGGTTAAGAAATTTTCTGGATGAAAGATTTCTTACTTGGAGTTTCTCGAGAGACTCAGAGATCTGGTATCCCCCTGATGCCTATGGAAATTCTGTGTATATGTGAATATATTGTTTTTCTGGAAAGCTTGCTTTAATCAGATCTTCAGAGATATTAATTTTTAAAAAACTAGTCAGATTGATTTATTAAGTGAATCAATTCACTTCATATTGTTTAAATTTAGTTGTTAAGAATTTATCAGGGATTTTAGAAAACCCTCAAAAACCCCAAATGCCTTGGATTTTAAAGACTTCATAAGACACCATGAAAATGATATGTAATTGATGATTATGTTGGTAAGCAAGTCCACAAACTTTCCAGGCTGAATGCTGAGTAAAGGGAGGTTTCTATGATCACTCCGAAGAAATAGAAAGGGGTATTGTAGGAGTCAGTGAAGTGGATAGTTGCCAGGGGGCTTTGATTGCATTCTAGACAGGGTAGTGAGCAAGAAAAACTTGGGGAAAGATAACGTGCAGACATATGATGATACCCACACCCAAATAGGTTATCACTTGATTAACGCTTGAGTGAATGCTCATTGTATTTTCATGGACCTATAACTTTCTTGAATTTTCACTGCAATGGAAGCAGTTAGAATTTAGTTATTTGCTATTAAAATCAAGGATGAGCTTTCCAAATAAATTTCCAGTTTTCATTCTTCTTAAAAATCTGCAAATACTTAGCCCTTTCCATAATGGCCTTTCAAAGAAAAATCTTTATATATGTAAGTGTAGTCGAACACAGTAACTATTACAGAAATTGAAAATACTCATATTTGACATTCACAGCAGCTATCTTTTAATTGAATTTGTGTCTTAATTAGTCCAAATAAAATTTTTACTCTCAAATTATAAAATTTTGAAATTATTCATTATAGATATTATATTTTTTCTGTTTATAATACTCAACAAAATTATTTCTTCTCACTTTAAGCTAGGCCAGTGAATTGTTAATTTTGCTAGTAGGTAGTCATAAGGATGATAAAAAAATTAAGCTTCCATAAAGATATAGGACATCAAGATAAATCCTTTAAGTGGTCCATTAAAAGATATTTAAGAGCCTTGAAAATATAATATGCTTGTAACTAAATTTATTCTCAGCTAAATTGTGAGCCCTCAATTTTTCCTTTTAAAAGTTGCCACTAATTTATGATTGTATTTTTTTAAGTTAAGATAGAAACAAAATTGTGATTTTTTTTTTGATAAGACTTTGCTATAATGCCGTAAGTGGGGTCCAAAATATTTAATTGCTTAGAATGTGGGTCATGTTAATCGTGAAGTTGATGAAATGAAAATGGGAATGAGCAAAGAAAAAAGCCAATCATGTGACATCCCATTTTGAGTTATTACAGGCCCATTATCGTGGGGTGTATTCTCTGCTTGTTTTTCTCTTAATTACGGTGGTCATGCTATAATAACAATGAAACACTTCTCAGCAAGCAACTTTGGCTTTTATTTCTAGTATTTCTTTACAGTATATACCAAAGAATCTATGCTCCTTGTTGTGTCCCAGTGGTCTTTTATAAATGTCATTTACCCTAGTCACTTCCTATTCCTCCAGAAACTATCTAGAATTAGAAATTATTTATGAATGTTTTTCTTTTTTCTTTGGCTTTTGTTAGAATACTAAGGCTAGATCTGGACAGGCGAATCCAAGGGGTCTCTGGTAATTTCCAAAAAGATGTTTTAAATGAATTCTGTGAATAATTATATAATGCTCTAAGAAGTGTAGGTTCAACCCTCTTATGTGCCTTATTGTTTCTAAGAATGTGTAACCATTTGCAGGAAGTACTTTTTATTTCCCCAACTGGAAATATAATGCAGCTAACCAAATAAAAATCACAGAACCTCGGGGTTCAGTTTGTGCCCAAATCATCCCCTATCGGCCCGTTTATCCTCAAAGGGTACACCTTAGATTATGCCAAACTGTGCTCTATAGAGGCCAAAGGTTCCCAGCAAGTATCTCTAATCTCATATAGGTACGGACATGATTGTTAGTGGGAACTTTAGGGTCCCAAAGCCCATTCCCAGTCCAGAGCATCTCTTATTTTGAACGTTATACTTTGCTGCTGCTCCTTTAAACTTTTATAAACCACTGTGTCTTTGAGAACTAGAAGTTTCATTTTGTGTTGATATAAATGTTGTTTCTCTGCTGTAATAATAGGAATCATGAAATTCCTATAATGCAATAGGATGACTACAGAGGTTCATTAACTCTTTCATTTCTATAAGATATATTTCATTCCTATAAGATATTCCTATAGTACCATTTAATGGTACTATAATTTGTTCATTGGCACAAAGACTGAAGAATATATTGTGTTCCAATTGAAGAATTCTAAATGTTTTCTTTAAGGCTTGGAGAGCTGTTGAAGAGTATTATGTCAGGAGGATCATGATAAGATTTAGGTTTACATTTTAAGAGATTATTTAGAGGGAAAGAAAAGAGAAAAGATGACTTTACCTGCATTGTTCCTTTCTGGATATCTGAAGACAAACTGCGAGCAGGGGAATAGGTTTAGGAAGTGGTGGAAAATAATGACTGTGCTAATGTTATGAGCATGGGAATGGAGTCCTGTCAAATCAGAAAGATACTGCATATGTTCAAATACAAGCAACCTCAGATATAAGGAAAGCCACTCTTTTCTCAATGAAAAAATCCCCCACCAATTGTTTATTATTTGGTCATTTTGAATATATAAAGTTTTAGAAGTTATTAACTTACTTATTTACTACTTGAGCCACTGTTTAAGTAACTTAACCCAGCTTTCCAAAGTACATTATTTTTACTTTTATTTAAGTTATTTAACATATAGCACTTTTGAATCCAAGTATAGTTCTGTCACTGGAATTTTGTGCAAAGCCACATGAAATTCTTTGCCTTTAAAACAGTCGTTTTTTTAATTTAACTTATCCCGTCGTTATTTATTTGTGATCTTTGCGGAGTTACCATTTGTGTATGTTTGCTTGTATGATGTATAGCTTTTTAAAGGGATATTTTAGAGGAATGTTTGCAAGATATCTAACATTTTTAGTTATGGGATCATAAACAGGGAAATTTTTAAAATTCTATCCTAGGACCACCATTAGCATTCAATACCAATACTGGTTAAGATCACTTAAGGCTAAGGTGTTTTCTCCATAATTGTTATCCAAAACAAAGTACTAAAGGAAACACCCCATAGTATGAGACTTTGTAAAGAAATAAGTCCACCACTGTAGGGATATATGTATGGAAAAATACTGCTAACATTTGAGCGTATATTGTATTTAGGAAGTAGCATCATCAGAAAGTGGTGACTACTTGCGGTGCCTGTAAGAGGAGGAGTCCAGGACTGTTCTCATTTCCGCTCTCTGGCTGGGGTGACTGCAAGTGCTACTATTTGAAATAGTAAAAGGTTTGGGGGAAGGTAATAAATTCAATTTTAAATAGAGTATGAGGTGCCTATGGAAAATCCACATGAAAATGTCTAGTAAACGCATGTATAGGAAATGCAACCTAGTGATCAGGGGAGAATGTGGGCTGAGGATTGTATACTTAGCAATATTTCTCAAAAACTGCTATAATTAAGTTCATCTATTTACCTTTTGAACTTTATCAATTTGCATATATAGATTTTTCTTAAAGAAAAGTGGACTTTTTTTTTCTTATTTAAAGGAATTTCCCTAAAAATTGTTGATGCCAGCTACTTTGTTCCTTGCATCCTACAACCTTTTACGTTTTAATGAGCTATTCTTGAATGTCAACAAGCATCTTAAGGATATTTTTCCCTACAAATATTAAGTTAATCAACATTTCTTAAAGCCAGCTTTTTGTGTGCCTACCTCGGGCCTTATTTTCTTCAAAAACTTAAGGTTACTTCTTTTTTTTTTTTTTTAGAGTTTTTTTTTTCTTAATTTCTACTACTATTATGTCGGTCAGTATCAAAGGATTTGTTAATCCCCCTTGAACAATATTTTAGTGTTTACAAGTGCTTCTTATTTGTGTTTGCCTTCCTATTATTTTCTCTGTGCTGCTCAGATTTGTAACAATTTCTGATTTTTAAGATCTATTTTTGCTTTCCATATAAATAAAAATACCAAGTCTAAAATAGGTAACTTTTAGACTTTCCGATTTCCGTGTACAAAGGTTTATGGAGGCTTAATTTTCATTAACGTTTAGAGCTTGATATAAATAGCATCTTAGACTGTTGTTAGATATAAATAGGCAATGATGTGCTGATAAAAGTTTTAACAGCCAGCACTCTGAGTGGGAAAGTCCTAATTTGTAGCCTTTCCCAATTTCTCCCCCTGCCCTCCCTCAAGGCTGCCAGTGTGGGGTCATGAACTTGGAGCTGGGGAGTGATACAGTCACCTTCATGAACCAGTACAAATTGACTCCTCCACACCACTGTATCTTCTAACACTGTGCACTCCATAAGTCTGTATAAACTTCATATTATGTAAAATAATAGTGTGCTTGGTAATATTTTCTGTCATAGTACATTCACATATTTTGATATCTTGTTTAGAAGTGTTCTTTATAAGTCTACAAAAAGTGAAACTTTTTGGGAGCCAATTCTGGGTAACTCATTTCTTCCTTTTACAACTTGAAGAATTCATAAATGTATGGACAAATATGTACATACACAGCCTTATACACGTAAAATAGTTCCATAACATATTCCCTTTCGAAAACCGCTGGGATGACATTAAAAAATTTTCCATCTGTTGCACTGTGAGTGAACTTAATTGCTGCTCCCTGTTGCTGAATTAACTAGAAAATGTCATCATATCTTGCACTTCATGTACCCCTTAATAACACGCTTAATATTCATGGATGTTTTGGAAAAATAAGAGTCTTTTGCAAAGCTGTGTGCTTCACTCTTATCTGGATAAAGCACTTTGCCTACTGGGCAATTCGTTTTATTATAATTGAACCTCAGTCAGTAATATCTTTAATGTCCTTTTGGCTATTAGGTTATAAAAGCAATAGAAGAAGGTTATCGCTTACCAGCACCCATGGACTGCCCAGCTGGTCTTCACCAGCTAATGCTGGATTGCTGGCAAAAGGAACGCGCTGAAAGGCCAAAGTTTGAACAGATAGTTGGAATTCTAGACAAAATGATTCGAAACCCAAATAGTCTGAAAACACCCCTGGGAACTTGTAGTAGGTAAGAAATACCTAAGGGAATGGAATCCGGGAGAAATTCAGATATTCACATGAACCATTTATCTCCTCGGCCCCACCCCAATGGCAAATTGACATTTGTGTTAAATTGTAAGTTCGTCTGAAATTTATTGTGTTTACAGAAGTTATTTGTTTCCCTTCAGATGGCTTGCCTTAATTAATGTTGAAAGAGACCTGTTAATTACTATTGCTTTTTTTCTTAAAAGCTATGATCGATGTCACTGGCTGTCATTTTAGAAAACTTTCTCAACTGGCTTTCTGTGACTAGATGGCATTTCACATTTTCAAACCATTATTATTATTACATGGGTTTGTATTACTGTTGCTTTAGTTTTTTATTATATGCATGTTATCTATTTTATTGTTTTGCTTTGAGTTAATTAGTAAAATGATTCTATGAGGTTAAAGTTTATAAAAGTAATTCAATACATGATTAAAGAGGTATACCCATTAAAAAGAGTCTGAAACACTCCATTTATTCTTTGTGCTTGGCTTACTCCATTGTAATGCATATTATTCAGTAGTTATTCAGCTTCAGCTGCCAGGTAAGCCTGATGCCCCGTCTGCACTGGTAGTCAGGCCCTTGGGGGGGGGGGTATGTGAACTCACAAGGCACTCACAAGGGTGCCGTCAGTACAGTGGAGCCAAATGTGGTCTAAACAAGTTAGTCCACAGCCGTATGTACTTCCTTTACTCTCCGTTACTTTTGGAGAAGCAAATGAACAAATATTTAGTGATTACAAATGCTGTTTGCTCTCCTTTTAAAAATGTGTGGAAGACACAATCTGGTGGCCATCAAATCTAAATAAAATGTAAAATCTGGAGTTTGTAGTTATTGGGCAACCTTTATGGGTTAGATTTTGATTAGCATATCTGTTTGTTTGCTATTATATACATCCATTAAAATATGTCATTTTATTCTTTATACCATTATTTTTGTATGGGTCAAGACATTTTTTCTTTGGTAGTTCATGAGAAAATTTACTTTTCTGTTTCATTCTTATCTAGGCCAATAAGCCCTCTTTTGGATCAAAACACTCCTGACTTCACTACCTTTTGTTCAGTTGGAGAATGGCTACAAGCTATTAAGATGGAAAGATATAAAGATAACTTCACAGCAGCTGGCTACAACTCCCTTGAATCAGTGGCCAGGATGACTATTGAGTAAGCTTAAACTTTTAAAATTATATTTAAAAATTTATTAGGTACAATCCAAGCTTTATACATTAGGTCATGTCCCAGATATTAAAGAGGTAGGAACCACAAAATCAGGGAGAAAAGTATCTCTTTAATAAGTGCCAACTATGTGCAAGACATTATGCTAAATAGACCTTTGAACATACAGTATCTTTCTAACTTTCACAGCAACAATTTTATTAAGTCAATAGTTTTACACACAACAAGGCTAAGACTCAGAGAATTTAAATACTTTCCCTAAACTGACTCAACTAGTAAGTGGCAGCTAGTTTGTCAGCATAGCCAGTGTTCTAAACACCACCCAGTGAGACTTTCCTCTTTTTTGGTTACTCACTGTATCATTTAGGTTCCTATTCACTGGGGAAACTCTCTATTGCAAAGGAGGATTTCTTTCATCATGTTTTATCAGACATTAAAAATCTAAGCTCCTGGGGCCAGCCCTGTGGCCTAGTGGTTAAGTTTGGCGTGCTCTGCTTTGGGGACGTGGGTTCGGTTCCCAGGTGCGGACCTACACCACTCGTCGGTGGCCATGCTGTGTCAGCGACCCACATAAAAAACAGAGGAAGACTGGCACAGATGTTAGCTCAGAGTGAATTTTCCTCAAGCAAAGAAGAGGAAGATTGGCAGCAGATGTTAGCTCAAAGCAAATCTTCCTCAGTGAAAAAAAAAAAGAAAATCGAAAAGTTTCATACCCAATACCAAAATGCATTATGACGTCCAATATGATTACTTTCTGAAGAGGTCAAAGGAAACTTAATTCAATAACTGTAACTAAGAGGTTAACTTACTCTTAGTAAGGTGTGTGATTGATTGATTCAATTTTTTTTCTTAACTTGAAGAATGACCTGATAAAACAACTTTTGTAATAGCTATGAACTGGAAGTAAAAAGAATTAAATTTTCCTTTCTGGCTCCATCACTGGTTATATCATCTTGGGAAATCCATTTACTATCTCTGAACCTCAGTTTCCTTGGCTGCATCATAACTCTGTGGGTGATACAGTTCCTCTCAGTCACTGTATTTAAAAATGAGAAACAATTATCAAGCTTCTCTTAGTGGGATCCTATTTACGTACTGTTGTGAGAAGGGTTTCACATTTCAGAAGGGAAGAAGGCCAGCAATCAGATACTCTTTCCTGGCGTGTCTGGAAATGGCATGTACGTGAATTTAAGCATGTGCATCTAATCTTGTTTGATTTCCTGCTAGTTACCATGTGGGTAGAGCTGGCATAATTGCACTGGTATCCCCAAAGCAATCTATACCCCTGAAAAACTATTTTTCTCAAAGTCTTATTAAACCATTCCTATGAAATGCTCCAGTACTCTGCTATTGCTGTATTCTAGCTGCTTGTAAATAGCTAAGCTCAGTCTTGCTGGCTATTAGGAAAGGTAAAAATACAGGAACAGATAGAGTTAGCTTATGTCAAATTTAAGCTATTAAACATAGGTGTTGCACACTTTAAATATGATTTTTTTTTCAAAAATTTCATCAAATGATTGAACTGAACTGCAGTAAGTATACAACCAATAATATGCTCAGAATTACCAATTGATAATTAAACTCAGTATAACATTGGGTATGAATGTTGATGATTCATGATCTGCTAGAGCCCAGCAAATGTTTCCACTCAGACTATATCCTATTTAACAATTAAAAATTTTAAACTTCGCTTAGATTCAAGAATACAGCATTTCAAGGGCTGGCTCAGTGGCATAGTGGTTAAGTTCGCACCTTCCGCTTTGGCGGCCCAGGCTTTGTGGGCTCGGATTCCAGGCACGGACCTACACAGAGCTCGTCAAGCCATGCTGTGGTGGTGTCCCACATCCAAAAAATGGAGGAAGATGTTAGCTCAGGGTTAACCTTCCTCAAGCAAAAAGAGGAAGATTGGCGTCAGATGTTAGCTCAGAGCCAATCTTCCTCACCAAAAAAAAAAAAGAATACAACATTTCAAATAACATTTCCTAACATTACCTTAAGTTAATAATAATTTTAAGACTGATTAAGACTGATCATTTCTTGCATAAAATTTCAAATCAGTTTAGAAATAACTTGTAATGGCACATTGAGAGCCTGAGCAGGTAGGCTTTTACGAAGGAGAATGTTGATGCAGGTTGCCAGTCCGACCCACTGCAGGAATATGATCATAATACCCAAGAGCACTAAGATAAGATCCGTTTGCCTAAAATAAACAGATTATTTAATTAAACAGTCGATGACAGTTTAGTACCAAATACATTCTTTGTAAGACAACTAATAAAAAATGTGTTTGTCTTTTTCAGGGATGTGATGAGTTTGGGGATCACATTGGTTGGCCATCAAAAGAAAATCATGAGCAGCATTCAGACTATGAGAGCACAAATGCTCCACTTACACGGAACTGGCATCCAAGTGTGATACGCGTTTCTCCCCTATGAGGGAGATTATGGATTATGAGAGAACAGTACTGGCCTTCAGTATATGCGTAGAATGCTGCTAGAAGACAGTTGATGTCCTGGGTCCTTCCTACAGTGAAGAGAAGATTTAAGAAGCACCTATAGACTTGAACTCCTAAGTGCCACCAGAATATATAAAAAGGGAATTTAGGATCCACCACTGGTGGCCAGGAAAACAGCAGTGACAATAAACAAAGTACTACCTGAAAAACATCCAAACACCTTGAGCTCTCTAACCTCCTTTTTATCGTATAGACTTTTTAAAATGTACATAAAGAATTTAAGAAAGAATATATTTGTCAAATAAAATCATGATCTTATTGTTAAAAGCAATGAAATATTTTCCTTAAATATGTGATTTCAGACTATTCCTTTTTAAAATCATTTGTGTTTATTCTTCATAAGGACTTTGTTTTAGAAAGTTGTTTATAGCTTTGGACCTTTTTAGTGTTAATCTATGACACATAACTACACTGGGTACCTTTGAAAGTATCTCAAAAAAAAAAAACATAGCATGATTGAAGATATATCTCTGTCAACATTGGTATCCTTTTTGTGCCATTTTATTTTGTTAATCAGTGCTGTTTTCATATTGTTTGCTAATTGGCAGGTAGTCAAGAAAATGCAAGTTGCCAAGAGCTCTGATATTTTTTAAAAAGAAATTTTTTTGTAAAGATCAGACAACACATTATCTTTTCAATGAAAAAAGCAATAATGATCCATAAATACTATAAGGCACTTTTAACAGATTGTTTATAGAGTGATTTTACTAGACAGAATTTAATTAAAAAAAAACTCAAATTGTAGGTTTATGACTATAAAAAAAATTTTAAAATGAGGCACTTCATCTAAAGAATGCTGGTGAAGGCAAGTCTCTGAAAGCAAGAACTAGCCAGTGTTATCTAAAATTTAATCTGAGCACATCAAGATTTTTTCAGTATCGTGACATTAGAAAATTAAGGAGAAATAGTTGACATATATTTTATATCCTGTTCTGTTTAATGCAGTCCAAACACGAAAGGAAAGAATTAAGTTTTATATTAGAACTCTGAAGCGTGATAAAAGGGGCAGTTCACAATTTTCACCTTTCAAAAACAAATTTGCTGCACAGAACATCACCCTTGCAGTTAAAAAAAAAAGTCTTTTATTTGTGAACGCTGATGTGAGAAACTTGGTAAATGAAAGAATTCTTTTTACCATGTAAGGCAGAGGTGAAGGATCTGGCTTTTTCTTTTTTGAGCTTTATTTATTAAACCATGTTATTTGATTACTGTGTTAGGATTTCATAAGCAATAATTAAATGTGTCTTTATAGATATTTCAGGAATGTATACATATTGTGAGTACTGCTTTCAAAAGTTATGAAAATCATGAACTACCCCAGAATTGAACTGTTGTACTTCCAAAGAGAATTGGGCTGTTTATAATGATTTTAATAGAGAAAGATCCCAGGGATCGGTCATAATTGGTCTTGTTTGATAATGTGGGCATCCACAAACAAACAAATAACAGAAACAAAATCTGTAAATGTTCCTTTGTAAAACTTGTAAATTTTATTTATACTGTCTTGTTTTGTACACACATTTCTCTGTAGTGGGCTCTGAATACATTGAAAATGCACTATATTTTTCTATTTTACTTGCAGAGCATCACAAAAGAACAGGTATTTTCAGTGCTACATAATGTGTTTTCCCACATTTAGGACCAAAGATGGCTATAGAAAAACTCAAATGGATTGCGTCCCAAACCCCTCCCCACCCTTTTTTTTTTCTTTTAAATCACTGTACAGTGTTATTTGATATTTTAATTTATTTTTTGATTGACTAGAAAAATCATTTTAATTTCACTAAAATGTTTTTTGTCCCTAAAGAATAATAATCTGTAAAATAATTTTAATTAGCATAATACAGTCACCTAGACACTTCCATTTGTAATCTTTGTAATAGACTGTAAATATATTTTTGGAACTATAACACAATGTGCTTGAGGGTTATTTTTCAGTGTCTGCAGTGTATACGAGTGTTTATACTAAGTACAGCACTTTACAATTTTAATCAGTAGCATTGGCCTTTGTGAGAATGAGTGAACGAGTTTGAGTGAGTGTTCTTAATTCCGTTGGGATTCTAGACTCACTAATAATGAAGTTCTTTTCTTGTTCATAGCTTAAGGTGCTTATTTTTACTATTAAAATTAAATTAACAAAAAGCCATTCTAGAAATAGAAGACATAGTATGGTACATGCAAACGGTGTCTTTCCTGCTTTTTTCTAGCACTAGATTTATAGTTGAGTAGTCTTTCTTGAGTAGAAGGGCAGAATAAAAGTTTTTTTGAGTTTTTTTTTCAAAAATAACTTTTTTCTTCAGCAATATACCTCATCTGCCTTAAATTTTTTACAGCTCTTTACAGGGAAAGGGGAGAAGGGATGGGAAAGACACACAGCACAATAGGAAGCGTATGCTTACATCACTCTCTCGTTTGTAGGTTTCTTTTCCCAATCAACGTTATGATTTTGAAATACATGTTTATGAAACAGATATTCAGAGAAAAAGAATGAACATTGTAATGCTGATTGTAATACTCTCTTCCAGAAAGAGATGAAATGGTATAACGATAAGAATGTACAACTTGCACCTTGAAATCTTTTTTTGATAAATTAGTGCTCAGGGGAGGAAAGGTAGAGAAAGCAAACGTCAAAAATAGAGTTCAAAAATTATAAAAATGCAAAATGAAATGGCCTCCTTGCTTTAATAGAGCCACCTTTTTTAGAACGCTGTCTTCACACTTGACTTGTGTTTTACATTCGGTACTGAAATAAAAGTAAACTTTTGTGACATCCGAATCGAACATTTTCTCAGCAATTGATCTGGGCCTTGTTTACTAGAACTGGTGGTTTATGCTTGTCAGAGCACTATTAGTTGAATCAAATTGTATACTTATGTAATCTACATTAGCTAGGACTATTTAGGACTATATTTTAATTGCTCCTCTTATCCGTGTTTTTAAGACAATTAAAATGGTGTAATTCACCTCTCTTTTTTATTTAGGTAATGCTGATATTCTCCCTTTTGTTTCCTGAGCAGCCTAAAACTGTGCTGCTCACTGATGTGCATGTTCAAATAAATTACTGATGTGTATTTTTTTGCTATATGTGGAGAAATCATGGGGAACTCGGGGCGAGATGTGCTTTTTGTTGGTTGAATTTGTCCCTCCTTGCCTAAGAATTATACAGGGGTCATCCTTTTATAAGGACAAACTGCTTTTGAACAGTGTCTTCAATGTATCAAGCACAAATAACTCTTTCTTCAACACGAATCATAAGTCTCTTTTTACCGGCTTAAAATAATAAACGAGTCTATTAGACAATGTAAAGAAAATCCTGTCTCCAATCATTGGCGGGTTCCTCTATGTCCCATACTGATTCTTTATTTTCTTACACAATATTGTGAAGGGAGATGTTTAGAGTAAAGGTTTTATTGAAATATTTCAGTGGGCCAATCAGAATACAAGGAAAATTCGTAACCCTTGCTTCCCCTCGTCCTCTTACACACTGACTTAATTCCACTCTATAACAGAATAACAAGACTAGATCTTCAAAGAGCCTTACTGTAAAACATTTTAGCTAAGACCTTTTTTGTTCCTTTGTAAAACTACATGGTACTAACAAGAATATTTGCATGAGAAAGGAAACATTTTGTCATTGGGCCCTGACAAATATTTTAAACATTTGATATAATACAGCAACTTAGAGAGTTTTTGCATTTCAGATGCTGCAGGATGCAAACATAGGATCCAGAACAAATGAAAAAAGTGATAAAAATCTGGTTGTCTGAGTTGTTTGCCATTGACACTGGCTCAGTGATGGTTCCAGCTTGCACTTGAAATGAAGAAAACTAAGCCCTCCCTCGTCTACAGGATCACCATCTTTACACTCTACAAGCTCTTAACAAATATGCAAAACACACTTCAAAAAATGAGAATAGGCAAATACCAGATGAGGTGTTTTCACTGGTTATCACACTTACATTGCTGAGGCTCGGGCTAGGCTGAATGGAAATTCGAAGTCATGGCTCTCCCTGACTATTCAACAAGCAGTGTTCTTGTTCAGCTCACACAGCAGTAATTACACAGCCTGAAACACTGAGGGGCTGTCATATGATCTCTTAAAGTACTGGATTCATAAGTTGTACAAAAATACACTATCCTACCAGCACTCATTTTGCTCCAAAATTATAAAGCCATTATTAAGGATATACAAGTTCCATCACTGAGTAAAAAATAGATTTTAATACCTATGGTGATCATTAGTAGCAACTTTTTGTTGAAGTACTTTTATCTCCAACTTTTACCCTTTGTTTTATCTTGTTAGCTGCAAGGAACACTCGATATCAATTTTGAGGAAAGCTGCTGAAAGGAAGACACACAAAGCAAAGAGGTGATCAAATTTCTAAATGCAAAAGATAGTAACCACTGGTATTAACAAATGATAAAAGACAGAACGTGGTGACTGGCAAAGTTTCATGCTGCCCTGAAGGGAAGAGCATCCTCTGGGCTTTGTGTCAGTGTCCCTTCAGTAACCCCTACCTAGCCGCTCCACTGTTCTGTCTAATGCATCTCAGCATAGCTTGAAAAATATGGACAGGAGAATAAAACATTTCAACAGGAATGCTTCTGTGAGCCTCATTAGAGTTAAGTGCTGTGAGGGGGTGTTTTTATCAAGTTCAGTGATTGAATGTAATTAAATCTATAATTAAACAATAAAAGACCTCTTCTGATTGACCTTGAGGTTAAAATAAATGTAATTAATTGATCTAATTTAATTGAACCTATTCCACCAAGTTCAGTGTGTAGCAATAAGTAGCTCTGGTCTAGTGTTCTGCAGGTATGTAACAGCACTAGACATTCCTTAGGTATGTAACGATAGTAGGGATTCCTAAATTGCAAGCATTCAATAATTCGGGGACAGTAATAAGTCAGGTGTTATCTGTTCTAAACCTTCATGAATAGCAAATAAAGCTCCATCCGATATAACCTCAACATTTATTTCATTATTTCAAACATCCCAGGTTTCTACTGCTGAAGATTATTTTTGTTTCCCTTTTGAAATTCATGGCCTTTAACTAAGTATATGTGTAGATTTTATATGTAACTAAAGAATGCATAATATATTTTTCAATGAGTGGTTAATCATAGATCTTAATTAAAGATGCTCAGAGGAAGAAATGGGCACATTTGTTTTTTGTTTTTGCTTTTGCTTTTTGTGAGGAAGATTAGCCCTTAGCTAACATCTGCTGCCAATCCTCCTCTTTTTGCTGAGGAAGATTGGCACCGAGCAAACATCCATGCCCATCTTCCTCTACTTTATGTGGGATGCCTACCACAGCATGGCTTGATAAGCAGTGCATAGGCGTGCACCCGGGATCCACACCTGCAAACCTGGGACCACTGCAGCAGAGCGTGTGAACTTAACCACTATGCCACCAGGCCGGCCCCAGCACATTTGTTTTAAGTCCTGTTGGTTCTTATGTTGGTACAGGACAAAAAAATACTGTTCAAGTCTTACCATTCCACCATGTAACCAAAACTAAATAAAGTGAATGACTGGACAACAAACTCTAGAAAAACAAATTGAGAAAATTAAACTACATATGCAGAACTAGTGTTCCTATAAATCACACACTTTTAAAAATATTTCACAATTCATAGAAATGAGACAACAACTCAAGAATACTTTTTTAAAGTGACATGTATTTGCAGACTCTACACTGATAGTATAGACTCTATAGCAAATCACAAGAGAAAGTTTTCAGTTCAACCTGATATCCGTCTGTCAGTTTGCTAGAGAGACACACTGCCAGCACTGAAAACTAGACAGAATCTGAGGCTACAATGTACCCTTTTCTGGATAGAAGAGACCCACACCTTTCTTCAGCTCTGACATTTATAGGAATGTTTTCAGAGATCTACTGGGCAGAGGATCTGTGTGGTGTGGGACCAGCAGAACAAACAGCAATTCAACCTCCTCTGATCTACTCACGAAACAAAAGCCAGCAAACACCAAATAATACTATCCTTCAGCTTTTGAAAAGAAGCAAGTAATATTGTATATAAAAGTGTATGTAAAAGGCAGGGGTGAATTAGAGGAAATCTGGAGAGTCAGGAGAAGCTGAGTTTAGTGGGAGAAGCAATGAAGAGCTATTGGCAATTCTGACCAGAAAAATGTTGTGGTGGGAAGGAAGTTTAAGGAACCAAGGTTTGGCAATGGTGCCTGAAATGTGAATTAATTCCTCTTTGTTTCTAGATCAGAGCAATAGAGTATACTTCGATGCTTCCATACTTTTGCTCTCCATTCTCACATTCCCTCTCACATTTCTAAATGGGGGAAATCCCTCTTTTCAAGGCACAACTCACCAGTTATTTCCTCCAAGTCTTCACTGACACCCAGGAGCCAGAATTATCTCTTCTGTGCTCTGTGCATGCTGCTGATGCTGTGATTATCCCACTGTGTTCTGTCAGATTATTTGTGTGTGTGTCTCTCCCACTAGATCAAGTGCTCTTGGAGGGCAGAAGCCAAATGGAAATCTTTGTTTTACGTCCTCTGGGACTTAACAGTTTCTGGCACTCAGTAGACTCTATAAATATTTTAGAATCCTTGAAGTGCAAATTAATTCAAATTGTTTTTTTTCTTAAAAGGTAGTGAGGATCAGGTGCTCTGAAGGATGAATGGAGTGCAGGGAAGGTGGTAGTAAAACGGCTATTG